AAAAAAAAAAGGCAAAACAAACTAAAGAATGAGGTGCTCAAATCGTCACACATGGCTGTCACACCACTTAAATTGTTAAGGGTTCTACAACTCTTCTTTGGCTGCATCAGTCTTGAATTGTTTCAAGATGTTGTGACGCACACTGAATTCATCCCTCTTAGTGTCACTGATGGCACCACCTAGACCAAAACGTGGAAATTGCAAAACGGTCAATAATGAAGAATGGCGCTACTGCTTAAAACAGCAGCTGTTGTTTAATCTGGTACAATTTAGGATGGTTGGTCACAAACCCTGAGCCAAAAAACCTGTCAGCAGCATACAAAGCTCTCAAAGGTGCAGGGTCATGCTAGATCAGGGATTTGCTCAATTATCAAAGTTAGATACCTTCTCAGCAAAGAGCCTTCAGTGAAAACATAACAAGAAAGAGCCTTGCACTGCCAGCAGCAAGACTATGCAAAACTATTCTAAGTAACGATAAGGTCTAGTAATTCCACTGAATTATTTAAAAAACAAAAAAACAAAAAAAAAAACACTATTAAACTGACCTTTTCAAACAGTCCTTTTACATTTCTTTTAATTTTTCTTAAAAATATGGACAATAAGTGGACTGGCTATAGAAACATCATTACTATTAAAATGGTGCTTTGCAATAATATTATTATAAGTTATAATTTGTTTCATTTGTGTGTAGATGCAACACAACAGGTTCTTTGAAAGATTTAATTAATCTCCCTTAGCTAATGTATATTTAACTAACCTAACCTGTCTAGAAATTCAGATAATTTTGGTATGGTACATTAATTCCACTGGTAGGTCCGACAAACATGTGATAAGTTGTACATTGTGTTGTGTGAAAATGCAATCTTACCAAGGAGGCGTTCCAAGCGATCAATTTCAGTAGTGACAAATGCATCTCCTCTAGTCTGTACCCTCTCCATGACCTTGGTGTAATAAGTTGCAACCCTGGAAAAATGTACAGTATATGTGTAAGAAACAAATCATATGTCATTTGAAATTAAAAAGACAATATCAATGGCAAGATCATGATTATCTTACGTACAGTAGTATTATTATTGTTTTATTGATTTGAAACTAAAAGTCAGGAGTATTTTTCTTTGTCAAGAGATCAGAGAGAGTCAGAGTAAAACAAGACCTTAGTGACAAACCCAGATGCACAATTAATATACAATTACACACTATCTTAGGTTTAGTGTCCTTAGTTAGTGTACTGAATGGCAGATACAGGCATCAGAGGTTCTATTTCAGCTTGAACTGACTGGTCATAGAATCAACTGAAAACTCACAAAAATGGTTTAAGCCTGCAGTAGAAGAACTGGATAGAGTAATGCCCAAAAGCCAAAAAGGGGCATGGATAGGCAAAATTGGGGAAGATTAAAACAGATGGCATACATGTATGGGCAAACTTGCAAAATTATGCGCAAGTTTTTTCACGTTTATATCAATTTGTACAAGAAAGTGTAATTTAATATGCATGGAAATCATCCTCGTTTGTTATGGGGTGGTGATTTCCCCAATAAAATACTCTTGCCCTGCCATTGTGAAGTTTAGAGTTCCTAGTTAACAAACACAAACAGCATTACCAAAAATACTCTGACCTAGCCCCATCAACTTAGCCTTAGGATTATATGAACTTGGTAAATTTATAGTGGAGCTCCGGCGGCCCAAAGGGTTGCCAAGCAGAGCACCATACCCATATAGGAAAGTAAAGGAAACCCAAGAATTGATTTTCTCATGGTTATCATGGCTAGTGGTATTGCTCATGAGCGTATACGTATGATGGCGATGGAGGAGTTGCGCAAGATGGTGGGCACACTCCAGCTAATAGGGTGACAGAGATACGCAGCCTTGGTTTATAGCGTACTTCTTTGATATGGGACATCCATGTTATGGTCAATTGACATCTGTCAAAACAAGGTGTCTGCTGACTCGTATCATGTGACCATATCGTGGGCTCAAGTTTAGAGGACAGGTTTTTTTTAAAGTTGACTGCTGACCAAGGGCTGGTTTTCGGTTGAACCGCAGGCTCATGTCAGGTTAACTTGATGTAAATAGTTGTTCGGAAGCTGGTTAAAGTTAACCCAAGATTAAACGTTAACCAAAGTATTAATTTTTCTTGTACACAAATACTTTTCACTGCTTTTGTTTTGTGTAGTTTGAGATTATTCAAACTCAAAACAGAAGTCTAAACAATATACAGAAAATTTCAATGCAAAGTTACAAAACTCAAATCAACATTCTTGCTTATCCTGGGTTGACTTAATCGAGCTTTGAACAACCAGGCCCAGGAGCTATGCTTTAACGCTTGGCTAAAGGTACAGGATCCTAGTGGATCTGATCAGCAAATTGAAGATTACCAAATAATAACAAAGAAAGGCTGACAGTTCAACAGTTGGGACTAAAGTTCATACTTCAAAAAAATATAGCCTTCAGTCCTAACTATATGGCCAGTCATTTTTTTTTTCTTAGGATTATAGTCCAGTCTGGGGAGATGGCCTGAAGATTGGAGTTATGAGCCATGCCCCTAGGGTAAACAAAGAGAAATCTACCTCTTAGGTTTAGGCTAAGGATGTTGGATACTGGCAGAAGATGGTATGGAAGGGCGCTGTGGTAGTGGGGCATCCTCCAGTATCCTGACAGCACCCCAAATAGGAGATAAGACAAGGATACTACTAACTATGAACTCAAGAGTAAGTTCAGTCATGAAACAACAACAACAACCACCATTTTATTTTGCATAATTCAGAGAATATCATACAGTGTTGTTATACCTCCAACTCAAATACATTTTCCAACTGGAGGAGAAAGTGTCATGTGTTGTAGGTCAAAACTCACTAACTCCCTAGGGAACAACAACTTGAACTTTTGACTTTTGCATGTGATCGTGTCGTGCTCCTTGAAACCACAGCAAATTTGTGTGCCAGCCGGCATAAAGCAAATGATTATTTCGCAGTTTTTTTTTTTTTCTATTTTTGAGTTGGGAGGTATAACAAAACACTTAATGACTAGCCCTGCGGGAAAAAGTGAGTTTTGTTTCGGGACACAAAACTCACTGATTCCTGTGGGGCAAGTCGTTAAGAGCTTATATGACAATTTGATTCAAAGAGCTACTAAAGGCTTGCATTTGCTTACTTTGGATCTTCTTGGGCATCAATGAGGGACTTGGCTTCTTCTAAGATTGCATCACGCTTGTCCTTGAAAAAGCAAACAGAAACAAACAGTTATCAGTGGTAACTGCAAAATGAACATTAAAGTTAGTGTGCATATAAGATTCTACTACAGTATGATTTGCTGCCACTTACCGTATTAGCCATGAAATCTTTGGCAAACTCATCAAACTTGTCGATCCTACCAGCCTAAACATAAACAGAAACGACAAGATTTTTTCAAAATACAACCTTTACCACGGAATAAGTTAAAACATAGCTAACAATGTCATGCTATCAAACTCAGGGCGGGAATGATGTATTAAGGAAAAATGTCTTGAGAACCTCCACCCAAATATTTATCTAAAATGTATGCGGGGAGCTAAACAGCTGGCTTACCGGGTGCTTTTCTCTGTGTGATTTGACCACCAACATGTTAAAGTTAATTACTGCTCTCTCTTGGAGAATTGTCCCTGTAAGGCTTATGGCATGAAGGAGACAGTTATTGGATAATGGCAAACATTACCTCTGCACTAATTCCTCCTCCAGAAACTCTGTTAGTTTTGCACTTTTCATTTAAAAAGTCAATAAAGTCTTGCTCACTGCGACCTCCACTGTACTATAATAAAAAGGACAGTTTTATAAAGCATAACATGAAGGAATTTCATATGCTATGATTGGTCAGGTCATTGTACCTCCATAATATAATATGACTGGGTAAAGTAATTAACTGTGATTACAGTTTAATCACCCCTGGAATTTAAAGGGCTAAATAGTCAGAGTGGTCGCAAAGTTTTGAGATAAATGGCCTATATTGTTGGAGTTGGTGACTAATTTTGCCATTTCTTCTCAAGAATCAAATGAATACCCAGAGAGTGGTGGCAAAGATCAGGAGGTACACCACGCAGATGTTTTGTGCTGGAAGTGAGCCCCCATTGTACATTTGACAACCCTGTAAACATAAATTTATCAAAATGGTCATACTTAATAATGCCATCATAATGACTCCACGGCCAGAGGGAACCATTTAACATTTTGCATTTATTCAACAAAATGATGCAAACAGAAAAATCAGAAACTTATGACATGCAGGAAATTTGATATACTTACATTATTGTTGATAAATGTAAAACTTGAGAAAATTAAAGGAGCTATGTAAAATACGGTTTGTGCAACTTGAAAAGTCTAGCCAACATTTTTCAAGTTTGTAGTTTGTAATCTGAGTCCATCTTCTCAATCCCAAACCATTCTTGTTCCTTTACAGTTTATTATCATCTCTTTGGTGTGTTTTTGTATCTTGGTAAACTATTATTATCAGGATTCCTTTCATTTAAATTCACATCCTTCCTATCTGAGCCACTTTAAAACATAAACAAGTAGACTCTGTGTGAGAAGAAAAATGCTGTTTGCTATTTTCAAATATCTCTTTTCGTTTCAGAGATACTCAAGTTTATAAAATATGCAAATTAGCCAAGTAATGATGTCATATTAAAACTCAACTGGATTTTGATCAATATAATGAAAATGGGTAACTCAGCCAATTTGCATCAGATGATTCTACTAGATGTGCTCCACAATATGAGCCTAACAGTTTTGTTACCATGGCAACATACTGGGCTCCAGACCTCCCTGATATTAAAGGCTTTCTTTGGCATTCCATTTTGAAATTGGCCAATGGCAATTCATCTGTATGATCCAGCAAGCATATAAAAATGTTAGGTTGAGTTCAAGGCCTTGTTAAATATTTTTTGAGCTGAAAATCACTAAAACATTGAAATCAGGCTAGAGGGGACTGGAAAAGAGTGAGTTGCCATGGGAACTATAGGTTTGTTGTCTGTATAACTATAAGCCTACCAAGTTTCAGTGGTCACTACTGTAAATTGAACGAGTTAGCTCTATTATTTTTATCTACTTGGTGTAATATTGAGTTGAGTGCAAGACATCATCAGTCCTCTCATTTGCATATTTTTCATATTTTTCAAACGTGAAATATCTCTGGAGTTCACCAGTTATGCAGATATTTGCAAACAGTAAATGGTGTTTTTAAATCTTTTGTGGAATTCTAAAAAAACCTAAAAACCCAAAAATTTAAGGGATAAACAGTCCAGTCCGTACTCTCGACAGTTTGTTTGCGTTTTTTGTTTTGTTTCACAAAATGTAAACATTTTGCAACTACTTACAAGAAGTAAATTCAAAGTTTTCAAAACAACCGTCATTATGTATGTGAAGTGGTTGAAGCTTTATGCTTCATTCTTTCTCATATCACTTAGTGAAACAACTTTGCAGCTGTAAAAATCAATGAAGCTGTTGGAAAAAGAATTTGAAAGGCCTCAAAGATAAGGTGTGTGGTGTGAGTGAGACTTATAATGTTTATAAACATTAGGGTGCTGAGACTGTGCCGCACAGACTGATAAATCATCTTTAAACTGAGGTAATGGCCAAAATAATGTAAAATATTGTTACTGAGCTTTTCAAATAAAACATATTTACCTCTTCTCCATCTTTGTTGTCTTTGGGGAAAAATTTAATGGTAGGGAAGCCACTGACACCATATCTGAAAATAACAAAACAGGTAAAACATTCAACAATAACTAGAANCCATAATATGGCATAATGGCGACTACATTTCTCTGTGTTGACGATCAATAACGGTTATTTTGTCACACATTATGTCCTTCTAGAAAATCATATTGAAAAATCTTTGTTTCTAAAACATTCAACATAAGAAAAGAAGTCAATCCATCCTTTTGCTTTGCTGTATTGATTCTCTCATATTGAAAAACTACTAAATGGCTGACCGTGTTTGAAATCGCCCTATAATGCATTGCAAATCCTTGATCATTGACTACGTCATGTTGGCCTAAGGATTGTTCTCTTGTAATGCATGGATCCTTCGTACTAGCATTTGATTGAAAAGAAACTTTGTTGAGTAGAAACCCTTCAAAAAGCACTTACTATTATTGGCCCCTAAAAAAGATCTTCAAGCCACTTTGGCCCTCAAGTAAAATTTTCTGGCTGAAACACTGCAGGAGTATATTGATGAGTACTAATGAAGTGTTGGGACAACCTGATAGAATGCTGGGGGGTCACCTGTGATGGACTAGCATCCCATCAGGGGGAATAGCAACACTCCTCACTGCTTCCAGAAACTGCTACGAGAAACTAGAATCTGCTGCTACCAGAAACTAGAAACTGCTGCTACCAGAAACTAGAAACAAGTAAGAGTTACATGTAAGTGCTGAGAGCTACGAGCCATTTGAGCTTAAATCGCTTATACTTCTACAACATCACTTACTTTTCTCCTAGATCTCTTTCCCCATCAGCATCTACTCTGGCCACAACACACTGGAAAAAGAGGAATCTTTTCAATCACACCCATTCAATTACTGCTACTTATCTCCTATAACTATATGCCCCTTAGTATGCATTTTTCTTTTTATCAATTAGATAACAAGCTCAAGATTTGTATCATCTCCTTGTCAGCTATCAGGCACAGAATGTGACACCAAATAATTGTTTTTAATTAGTATAAATCTACTATAGTCGTTCAAAACATAAACAACAATTCTCTTCATAGACCCTTCAAAATCACAAAAAAGCTAGTCACTTACTCCAGCAAAATAGATAGTGAGTTTGCTAACCAATCAGAGAATGGCATTTGTGATAGAAAACTAGTAAATTTCTACTTGAAAATAGAAAACATTTCTCTGTGTTTCTATCAAGTTATAGAAACACTTGGGGCTGATTATTTAAACGAAGTCTAAGTTAATCATTTTTTAGGGCTGAGCCGCTGTTGAGACATTGTCTCGATAAACAACGGCTAAACGATGCTTAAAATTCATTATTGAAACGCGACTGAACCGTGTTTTCTAGAGTCAATGGCTAAACCATGTCTTACAAGGAAATGCATTGTCTGCGGAATTATTTCGTATGCAAATTTCCAGATTTTGGTTATGGCTCTTAAACATGGCTTCTAAAACAAGCCCCACAACAAATGTCAGTGAACAAGAAAAACTTTAATTGGCTGAATTGGGTAGAGACTTTCCAGAAGTGGAAAGCAGAGACTACGAGAGTAAAACCGTGTCGGCAAAAAAGGCAAAGGCATGGAAGAACATGCTAACTAAATTTAACTCCCAAAATCCTAACAGTATCAAACGTGACCTCAGTCAGCTTCAACTGATGCTGGAGGTGGCTGAAACTTCATTCAAAAAAAGAGCATGACTTACATCATCATGAAGCAAAAATAACTGGTGGAGGAAAAGCTCCTGCCTCCCCAAGTGAAGTAAGCAAATTAGTAGCGGATGTAATCCCAGCCTCAGTTAATCCTCTAGAGCAGGAATTTGATGATGATGCAGGGTAAGAACTTGATTTAAGGTGGGACAAAGACGACAGGGAAGTTGTTACATGTGAAGTGGAGCCAAACCTTGAAGCCAGTGGAAAAAGTCACGAAACAGGAGGATAGTCAGAAGTACAGTAATTTTNTGACACCAAATAATTGTTTTTAATTAGTATAAATCTACTATAGTTGTTCTAAACATAAACAACAATTCTCTTCATAGACCCTTCAAAATCACAAAAAAAGCTAGTCACTTACTCCAGCAAAATAGATAGTGAGTTTGCATAGCCAATCAGAGAATGGCATTTGTGATAGAAAACTAGTAAATTTCTACTTGAAAATAGAAAACATTTTTCTGTGTTTCTATCAAGTTATAGAAACACTTGGGGCCGATTATTTAAACGAAGTCTAAGTTAATCATTTTTTAGGGCTGAGCCGCTGTTTAGACATTGTCTCGATAAACAACGGCTAAACAATGCTTAAAATTCATTATTGAAACGTGACTGAACCGTGTTTTCTAGAGTCAATGGCTAAACCATGTCTTACAAGGAAATGCATTGTCTGCGGAATTATTTCGTATGCAAATTTCCAGATTTTGGTTATGGCTCTTAAACATGGCTTCTAAAACAAGCCCCACAACAAATGTCAGTGAACAAGAAAAACTTTAATTGGCTGAATTGGGTAGAGACTTTCCAGAAGTGGAAAGCAAAGACTACGACAGTAAAACCGTGTCGGCAAAAAAGGCAAAGGCATGGAAGGACATGCTAACTAAATTTAACTCCCAAAATCCTAACAGTATCAAACGTGACCTCAGTCAGTTTCAACTGATGCTGGAGGTGGCTGAAACTGCATTCAAAAAAAGAGCATGACTTACATCATCATGAAGCAAGAATAACTGGTGGAGGAAAAGCTCCTGCCTCCCCAAGTGAAGTAAGCAAATTAGTAGCAGATGTAATCCCAGCCTCAGTTAATCCTCTAGAGCAGGAATTTGATGATGATGCAGGGTAAGAACTTGATTTAAGGTGGGACAAAGACGACACGGAAGTTATTACATGTGAGGTGGAGCCAAACCTTGAAGCCAGTGGAAAAAGTCACGAAACAGGAGGATAGTCAGAAGTACAGTAATTTTCAATCGCTTCTAAAAACTGTTTTTTAGAATTGCCAATAACCCTCTGGAAAGTTCATGTCCAATAGGATCTTCATTGGTGTAAGCGGCACACCTCTCCTTGTTTCATGCTAAAGATCTTTGTCCAAAAGTTTTACGAGGTCACTGATGTACCGAGTCCTTTCTAAAGCGAAAACGCAATCAAAAGTCTTTGTGGTTGTATTCCTCTAATGGGTTAAATTTATCCCTAGAGTGCCAAATTGTTCGAACATGTATATTAAGTTGATTGGCGTAGTTTCTTAGTACTGTCTATAGCGCAGAGGTCCCTCCATTTCAAAATGACTGACGATGAAAATGCCATTAAACAGCGTTTAAACCTACCTTTGATCAGGTCTAACTTACTATTGTTCCTTAGTTGGTGTTTAGACACTGTCTAAACATTGTTATGGAAAAACAAAGTTTAAATAATCAGTACTCTGGTTTACATGTAAACATGGCTTAGACAATGACTTTCATAAACGATGTCTAAACTTCGTTTAACTAATCGGCCCTTGCAGTCTGGGAGAATTCGAAAAAGCTGTGGGAACATTTGCTTGTGACCTGTTTGCCCACTATATTTTGCATACTACCAAACTTCCACCTGTGTATTTATAATTTTACAGATTGAAACACAAAATAGTTTTCATTTCTCGTGTGTATTGGGAACTAAAACAGTTCCTTGCAAACAGACTTTGTCTACATATCAGTCATTCAAAGTTGGACATAATATACTCTGTAGCTATTAATAGCACATTTTGTTCTGTTGCTACATACTTACATTTGGTTCATTCTTGAATGCCATCCCCACTTTCTCATAAACAGGGGCAAGATTTTTACAGTGGCCACACCCTAAAAAAAAAAAAACTTTTAGAACAATCTATGCAATGAAAGAAAGCACAGGCTGAGAGACAAACAAGATGAATACACAACAGTCTAAATCTGAAAGATATCAATGTTTATTGTTCGACAAAAGTTATACATGTAGGCCTGAGAATGTGGTGGTAACCAGGGGTTTCATTAACATTTTCAGCAGGAAGACAACTGGTTTTTGCGCTTGAACAGAACTATTTGAACTTAACTTTTTAGTAAGAAAAACTTTCCTCTGGACAGTCAAACCAGGTGGGCAAATTTGAAAATCATCCCTGGCTCACAGTCGATCAATTTACCCAGTCTCATCCAGACCTATTCCTGCATCCTATTCCTGCATTTTCATTGTTCACATCATTCATCTCTC